TAGGAGTTCGAAGGATGATATCATCAACTATGACCTGCATCAATGCTCCTCCACCAGATTATACCTAAATTCTGATGAAGGAATTCCATATGAATAACTGAAAAAGGAAAACTATTGGACTTTGGTGTTTGGGTAGGTCAGTTCAATATATAGGTATCACAATCACGATCATCCTGTTGTTCGTCGATTTCCTTGAGCAGGCACCAGTAACGTCTCCTTCTTCCTAGCCCTGAGATTTTAAAAGAGCCATTTCAATGCTCTTTCAGGATTAGGAGAATGAGACCCGTCATTGTTACTGGAATTTGGCATATTGAGTACGACACGGGAAGTTTGCCAGACTCTGTCGTGCGGGCAGGATACTTTTGGTAGCCTGCCAGGTTCTCTAAAGGAAAAAATAAGATAATAAGATGTTGCGTGGCCACAAATGCTGCCGCGCGCTTCCGGGAGCTGAGTTTTATAGTCTCTGCGTCTTGGCCATTGATGGGACCAACCTGGCACTGGCGGCAGCTGGTGGGTGTGATGCATACCTACTGGAAGATGGGGGGTCTGGGTGGAGAAGGCCCAGTCCCAATCCAAGTAGGCTTGGAGACCTCAGCCCCAGGACTCGCATGCCTGGGTTTCTCTACCAGTTCTTTCATGCATGAGATACCTTATGTATCTCATGCAGGGGCTGGAGCGATAGCACAGCGGGTAGGGCGTCTGCCTTGCACGCAACCAACATGGCTGACCCGAGTTCGATTCCTCCACCCCTCTCGGAGAGCCCGGCAAGCTGCCGAGAGTATTCGATAAGCCAGATACAGTAACAACAAAGTCTCCAATGGAGACGTTACTGGGCCCGCTCGAGCAAATCGATGTATAGGCATAAGATGAAAAATTATACCAATATTATAGTAATCTCCAAGTGTGGCTTAGAAGTTTTTAGGAAAGTCCAGTACTTCCTAATAGATGAAGCCAGAGTCAGTGAGGTTGATTTTATTCCTTGTAGATAAGGAAAAGTGATTTAGGGTGGAAGTATGTACAAATTCTTGGTCAGAGGACAAGGCCAGAGGTCTGGGGTTGGAAATGCAATGATTTGAACAGTGATTTTTTTTTCGGTTGTCATTTTGGGACCACACCTGATGATCAGGGGTTACTTCTGACTCTGTGTTTAGGAATTATTTCTGGCAGTCAGGGTACTATACGGGATGCCAGGGATTGAATCCAGGTAAGGTAAGCCTCAACTCACTATATCTCCAGCCTTATTTTATTATTACTAGAGAATTTGGGAGGAGAAAGGTGTGCAAATATAATGGTGAAACTGAAAAGTTTGAAGACTGTTGTACAAGTCAATGACAACAAAAAGCAGCCTTCACTGAAAAAATACTGAATGACAAAGTAGAACTTGATTTTCAAATGACCATGTCAATTAGAAATGAACACTCAAGAAATGGCATTGTGAGCACAAAGCACAACTATGGTTGTAGACTGAGGGCACACAGTGGCCCTACAGCGTGGACGTCTACTTTGCATCATCAAATATCAAGTGAACATTTGTTAATAATTCAAACTTGATAGCAGGCTTCCATTCTAGTATTTCTCCCTCACAGCAATAAACATTTCCTGTGAGCTAAGGAACACCTAGAGGGTTGAGTCTCTTCAGTGATTTAGTCAGGACCATTTTCTGGAGGCTAGCCAAAAGTTTTGTCCATAGATATAGAATCCTTTATAAAAACACCTACTAGAGAAGTTACTTTGCCAAATATTTGATACTTAGATGGATCAATAGTCACTGCCGAATCACATATCACAGCGCGCGGAAGTAGTTGTTGTCACAGAATTCTCTTTTAAAGGTCTATGTAAAGTATCAGTTGGATGACAACCCTGTGAAATGACGTATTTCAAGACATGATACATATACTCAGTTACAGATCTAAACAGGAAGGACATATGGTTGGTCCTAAGGACCTAAGGGCAGAAAAGGAATAGTGCCACTTAATCATCAAACATTACTCCTAATAACCCACAGTGGGATTCTGTGTTTTGTAGTAGAGATAGCTCCTTTGCAAAGACCAGACTGCTGCCTGGGAAAAGCAAGAAATCCCGTTAACCTATAAACTGGAATTACCACATGGCAAGTTAGATTTTTTCTGTCTAGTAACCAGAAGATCAAACGATTATTCTACTATGAGTAACTGAATCTTGTTTTCAAAATGAGATAAGTCTCCTTTTATCAAAAAGGGAGCAATGAACATAGGTTATCTTCTTAGATGCTTTGTGATACCTCTTATTTTTGTTTGGCATTTGAAACTGGCTCCTACGAGAGATTGTCTCAGTGCTCACACTTCTCATGCGACAGGACTATTTTCGTTATTTATGATGATCCCTCTTAGACCTCATATGAGTTTTTGTTAATAAGATGACTTATTGAGTGCCTGCCTCCAGTATTGTAAATAAAGTTGGAGCCACCATGTCATTTGATTAAAAAGCTGGCTCTTTGAATCTCTTGTTGTTAGCTTGCCATAGAGGGGTGATAAAGAAGATAGACATGATTTTAACTTTGTGACCAATGACTGAATGTCTAAATACTAACACTCCAGTGCAACTGTGAAATTATGCTCAATTGGTTATTGGTTGGTGATGCACAGTAATATACAGAGAAAAATGATATACAACTTGAGGGCACAAATTTTCATATTTGGGTAACTCTTATCATTACCGATATGTTTCTTCATTTCTCTGGTTCTGGATTTTACCATTTTTATTAAGATTTTAATACTATTATAGTACTTTAATATACTGTGTGAACTCTAGGTTCTAGTGAATTACTGAAACGGTGGGTCCCAAGATGTGTGTGTGTGTGTGTGTGTGCGTGTGTGAGTGTGTGTGTGTAGGGGGGGATTTCCCAAAATTTGTAGCAAGCTGGTCCCATGTGTGAATGTTCTAGGGATCCTAGAGCTTGTGGTTATAATCTTAAGTGAGGACAGTCTTGTGGGAGGTTGTGTTCTTTTTAAAAAAAATTGTTTAAAATGTAATCGGTGAGATACACAGCTACAAAGTTGTTCATGATTATATTTCAGTCCTATAATTTTCCAACATCCATCCCTTCACTAGTGTATATTTCCCACCACCAATGTCCCGAGTTTCCCTCCCATACCCTGCCTGCCTCTATGTCAGGGAGTTATCTTCTTCTTTTTCTTCTCTCTCTCTCTCTCTCTCTCTCTCTCTCTCTCTCTCTCTCTCTCTGTCTCTTCTGTCTGTCTGTCTCTCTCTGTGTGTGTCTCTTCTGTCTGTCTGTCTCTCTCTCTTTCCTTTTGGGCTTTATGGTTTGCAATACAGACACTGAAAGCTTATCACTTATGTCCCTTTAACTACTTTCAACACTCAGTTCCTATCCAAAATGATCATTTCCAACTAATATTGTCACTATTCTAACTGCTCTTCTTCCCCCAGACACTCCGTGGCAAGCTTTCAACCATTGACCAGTTCTCTTGGCCCCTGTTTTCTCTGGCCTTGGATATTAGGCTCAGATTAGAATTATTTTTTAATATCCCACAAATTGGGCTGGAGTGATTGCACAGCGGGTAGGATGTTTGCCTTGCAAGCGGCCGACATGACCAACCCGAGTTTGATTCCTCCACGCCTCTCTGAGAGCCCGGCAAGCTACTGAGAGTATCTCACCTGCACAGCCAAGCCTGGCAAGCTCCCCGTGGTGTATTCAATATGCCAAACACAGTAACAATTGTCACAATGGAGACGTTACTGGGCTCACTCGAGCAAATCGATGAACAACGGGAGGACAGTGACAGTGACAGTGATCCCACGAATGAATGCAGTCATTATATATCTGTCCCTCTCCTTCTTACTCATTTTACTCAGCATAATACTCCCTTTATAAATACATCCATTTAGAAGAAAAAGTTCATGACTTCATATTTTACTAATGGTTGTGTAGCATTCCATTGTGTCGAGGTACCATATTTTCTTCATCAAGTCATCTGTTCTATGCAGTTCAGTTGCTTCCAGATTCTGGCTATTGTCACTAGTGCTGAAATGAACACTGAAGTGCAGATTTTATTTCTGCTTTGAGTTTTTGGGTCCCAATCTTACAGTGATTCCATCCAGAAGTGGTATTTCTGGAGGATTGTGTTCTTGACCTGTGAAATTTGACCTAATGACTGCCCAGCATCAGAAATGAGCTTTACGTTTTTTAATTGATAAAACAGGATTCTTCCACTATCATAGGCAAAACAAGTGCCCTATCTACTGCACTATGTCCCCGTCCACAAATGACTCTTTTTTGGGGGAAAGAAGAAAAACAATGTATCTCTAATCAAGTGGAATAAAGAATTCAGCATTCACTGGAGAAAGGCAGTCCGTGGAAAGAAGTAGCCATTTTGTGAGATAACACACTTTTACAAATTCAAATCTTGGAGTGAGTCTTTTGGAATATATGGGTCCTGGAGCACATCTACCTTTGTTTTAAAGAGATTTATATGGACTGAGATTGAATGATAAATAGCAATACTTAAAAACACAAGATGTTATAAATATGAATTTTAAAGAACGGCAATCTTAATAAAGTTTAATGTTTGAAAATAAAGACAGAATTGTGAAAAATTCCCTAACACTCCTTACATCATAAATTAAAAATTTCCTTATAAAGTCTACCTGATATTACTTATTGCCAATGAAATATTACAGACCTTACTTTGTTGAGTGTAATCTTTTAGTGATTCCATTCCCCTGTAGGTTAATAGTTAATAGTTTTCTCAAGTTGTGCTTTCAAATATTCACAGGTTCATAGTTTAACACACACTTGGAAGTGCTCAGTAAAAAATTTTTAAATGAAGTCCTATTAACTCAAAGGGATAGAAAATTATGTTGGATACAAAAGCCTGTAGAATGAGATGGCGATTGAAACAATCAGCTATTTTTACCTTCACATCCTGGTATCGTGAATTGGCTGCAAGGCATTATATTGAGCTAGTAAGAAATGAGACTAGCCAAAAGAAATATAGACATGTATATATTTTCTTTTATTTTCAATTTGTTAAGATGCATGCAAGTATCTGATAGCTGAGGACCATACTTTGACCAGAGTTGATTTTAAGAGTGAGCCAATGAATGCTCTCTGAAGGTAGACCAGAAACATCATTTGAATGACTGCATTCAGTGAAGGCTACCACTTAGGCATTGCATATTCTGTCTTCTGTTGTGCACAGGATTGTCTTCAGAGGATCCTAGAATCAAACCAGAGGTACAAGATTGGGAAAGAGTTTTTGGAAAATGTCTCACATGCAATAAAAGTTTCTCTACAGTTCAGTATCTGCTCACTATATCACTGTATCACTATCATTCCATTGTTCATCGATTTATTTGAGCAGGCACCAGTAATGTCTTCATTTGTCCCAGCCCTGAGATTTTAGCAGCCTTTCCTTACTTGTCTTTCCCAACGCTGCCATATTGGAGGCTCTTGCAGGGTCAGGGGAATGAAATCATTATTGTTAATGTTTTTGGCATATTGAATATGCCACGGGTAGCTTGCCAGGCTCTGCCGTGCACAATACCTGCTTATACCGTAAACATAAGTAAGAGTTTTAACGTGGGTTTTTGTTCCTTGTCATTAGATTTGGGTAGAGTTGGCAAGGAGATTCTGTGCAGTGAGCAGAAAAGGACTTAATTATGTCACCAAGAAGGAAAGCTAGGGATTCCTATAGGGTGACTATAAACCATCCCGAAGAACTGCATCTTGGAGTTAAGAGCATATGCATGGGGATGAGTTCAATGGTAAAGCTTTATGTCAAGAGTGAGCATACTCTACCCATGACTTCTCCAATTTTCTGACCTTTCTTAGAATCCTTAGGGAGAGGCAGGATTATTTAGAAATCTTGTTGTTTTAGGAACAACTTTAAGCTTCAAACTCAGAAATTCTAAATCACAACTCTCCCTTTTCTGCATGAATATTGACTACAAAAAATGTTCAGTTTGATAACAATTTTAAAGGCGGGGAGAAGGAGAAGGAAAGCGATAAAGACAACATCTTACCTAGAAATGGTACATTAATAACTTTTCAACATCAGAATACTATTTCAGTACATTCAGTAAAATGGCATTCATTCAGAAGTAATTTTAATTTTTGAGATTCTTTATCTGCTAATATTATGGTAGGTATTTGAGCTTTAATTTTTTTTTTTTAGGAGAGGAGACATTTCTGCCACAATGAAACTTAATTACATAATAATTGGGCAGAGCCAGGAGAAAGCCCTGAGCATCAGCCCATGTGGTCCCCCAAACACATCAAAAACAAAGGAACAAAACATTCTGCTATTAGGCAGGGTGATGTTTGTAAGACTTTTGTCAAGGGCACTCATATGATAGGGACCTGGAAAAATAGAAATAAACGAGTAAGTTTTCTGTCAATAATTTGTGTAAGACAAGGAAGCCCTGTCTCTAGACAAAAAAAACCATAAATGGTAAAAAAAAAATAAGTCCAGATTCTGTGTTTGCCTCAAATATTTTTGTTGATTTTTTTTTGGGGGGGGGGGAAGGGAAAGTCATTTGATTAAAACTAGTTAAGACAGCCATAATTAAATCAGCAAGAACAACCAATTGATAACTAAAACCTATGAAACTATTGAGATACAGGGTTTAAAAGTAATGGAAAATGTAAACAGAAAGGTAAAAGTTAGCTCCAGAAAAAATTGATAATGCTCATTTATTCTTATATTTAACGAAACAGTTCTTAAACATGAACATTTTCTAGAAGAAAATTAAAATAAGTAGCGCTGGAAAAAATGCTGGCACCAAATAATGTACACCTGTCAAAAATTGAGTTAAAATAAATGTTAGCATATATTAATGGTTAAATATTATTTAAATACCAAATGATCCTTAGGGGCATGTAATATGAAAAGACTTAGAAGAATAGTTTTAGTAGAATAGTTTAAGCAACTTTAAAATAATTTCGTATGATAAATGTCATGGAGAAAAGGATTAAAACAATGTTTAGTGAGCACTTAGACTATTTTAGACACCGTACTAGAGGCTTTACAAAAAAAAATATTGAGTTAGGTTGTGTAATATCACATTTTATCATGCTGTTGGGAAGTTCAAAAGAATGGCATTGATCTGTCTTAACAAATAAGGTTTTAGTATAACAATTTTTGAAAAACTAGAGTCAAAATTGACTATCTTGGCATGTCATCAAGACTCTTGGCATATTCTTGATAATACGTATGTTCTGCATTTGTGGCTAAGTAGTTAAATGTGTTGGTGTGCGTATTCTAGGTTCTTTTCCTCTAAGAATGACTAGTTTCTATCTTTCTGTTGGTATACAGTGCATCCTGGCAGAATCATTTTCTAGTTAGATCACCTCAAATTCATTACTCGAAGAAGAAAATTAACAAAGCAGGTACCATACAGATCTCAGACAACAAAATAATTTAGCATATATAAAGGGTAGCATGAAATTGGCCATATATGAATAAAAAACATTATGTTTTCCTTAAACCTTCTAACTTATCTGAGTATCTTTTTTTGAAGTACTTATTATTTCAGGTACACAAAAATTAACTGAGTAAAAGAATACTTAGACCCAAATAAATTGCCCTTTGATATCTAGAGGGACAGCTTAGTATTTGAGAAAAACAGAACCTCACAAAACTTAATGCATTCAGAATTTGACAAAGTGTGACCCATTTACTGAGGCAGAAAATGTGCCACTGGTTTTTCTGTTTTGTTTTTTTTTAAACAGAAAATAATATTTACTTGTAAAAATTGGCATTTATACTTATTTAGAAGCAACCTGGGAGCAAAGCAGAAGGGAAAATAAGAATTTTGATTGAAAAATATACAGATAAAATGTGGCGTGTTTTAAAATATTTCATATGAATGCTAAAATATGGTAAATCTAATGAATTTATGTAAATTTATTGTAGAGTCCTTTAGGACTTTTAGATACTGTGAGGATATTGAACAGTTGATAGAAGCTATGTGTTCATGTTGTCATTTTTCGTAGGTAACTTCTAAGATTTTTGTCAAGATCTTTAAGATTCTGGAAAAATCACAACATTGAGTCCAAAAATTTATTTTGGCCTACGCAGTCTTCTCAGTGCCAAATCGATCGTAGCAGTTTTTATATCTTTCTGTATGCACTATTTTAATTGTTCTCTATTGGATTTTCAAATCTTTGAAATGGGAAGTTCTGCCTCATGTGTCCAGTCTTTGTACTGCACATAATACTAAGAGCTGTGTCCATAAGTGATTGCTGAACAGTAATCATTGATCACTGACACTCTTCTCCCGTTGTTCATCGATTTTCTTGAGTGGGCCCAGTAACGTCTCCATTGTGAGACTTTGTTGTTACTGTGTTTGGCATATCAAATACGTCATGGGTAGCTTGCCAGGCTTTGCCGTGTGGGCGAGATACTCTCGGTAGCTTGCCGGGCTCTCCAAGAGGGGCGGAGATAAGGAAACAAAAATAAGTCTACAGAAAATTATTCATAAAAAATTATACTAGTGCACATAACACTGAAATACTCTTATAATACTCTTATAATAATCACATTTATAATAGATGACTATGACAAATCATTATATTTCAAGCCAAAAAAACCCTACACAAAACCCCTCTATATCCCTTAAGAGTTTTGTAAAGAATAAAAATATAATTGTCATTAATACAATCTTTAAAATTCCAAGGAATAATTAAAAGCTGAGAAACCTGAGAAATTTATTTGCTCAACAGTTATTTAGATTTTTTTAATATATTGGAGGTTTTAGATCTATGCATTTCTTTTTTTTTTAATTTTATTGAATCAGTGTGAGATAGTTACAAGCTTTCATGTTTGGGTTACAATCACACAATGATCAAACACTCACCAGTGCACATTTCCCACCACCAATATCCCTGGTATACCCCCCACTTTCCCATCCTCCCTGTGCCTCCATGGCAGACACGATTCCCCATAATCTCTATTTTTGGACATTATGGTTTGTAATACAGATACTGAGACGTCATCATGTTTGGTCCTTTACTTTCTGCATACATCTCCCATCCCTAAAAATTCCTGCAGCCATCTTTTTCTTAGTGATCCCTTCTCTATTCCAGCTGCCTTCTCCCCTTTACTCATGAGGCAGGCTTCCAGCTATGGAGCAATCTACCTGTCCCGTGTATCTACAATCCTTAGGTGTCAGCCTCATGTTATGTTGTTTTATACTTCACAAGTGAGTGCAGTCCTATGTCTGTCCCTTTCTTTCTGATTCATTTCACTTAGCATGATACTCTTCATGTCTATCCATTTATGAGAAAAGTCCATGACTTCATCTCTCCTGACAGCTGCATAGTATTCCATTGTGTAGATGTACCAAAGTTTCTTTAACCAGTCATCTGTTCTAGGGAATTTGGGTTGTTTCCAGATTTTGGCTATTGTGAACAGTGCTGCAATGAACATACAGATACAGATGTCATTTCTACTGTGCTTTTCTGCATCCTTGGGATATATTCCCAGAAGTGGTATTGTGGGGTCATATGGAAGCTCAATTTCTAGTTTTTGAAGGACTGTCCATATTGTTTTCCAGAAAGGCTGGACTAGTGGGCATTCCCACCAATGATAAAGGAGCATCCCTTTTCCCCCCACATCCACACCAGCACTAGTTGCTTTTGTTCTTTTGAATGAGTGCCAGTCTCCGTGGTGTGAAATGATATCTCATTGTTGTTTTGATTTTCATCTCAAGGGAAATTGCAAAACACTACTTCAAGAAAAAAAGGAGAACACTAGAAAATGGAGACACATCCCCTGCTCATGGATAGGGAGGATTAACATTATGAAAATGTCAATACTGCCCAAAGTACTACGCAAATTCAATGTGGTCCCTATCAGAATACCCATGACATTTTTCAAAGAGATAGACAAAACACTCCTGAAATTCATATTGAACAATAAACCCCCATGAATAGCTAAAACAATCCTTGGGAAAAGAAGATGGGTGGCATCACCCTCCCCAACTTCAAACTGTACTACAGAGCAGTAGTAATTAAGACAGCATGGTACTGGGCTAGAAACAGACCTGCAGACCAATGGAATAGAGTTGAATATTCTGTCACAGACTCCCAAATATAGATGTATGCTTTCAACGAAAGTCAGAAGTATGATTTAAATGAAAAATTTTAACTAGTTAAATTCTGTAACACAATTTAAAAGCAACATAATCTAAAAATCTCTATTTTAGTTCAATATAC